CAACCCTGTCATCATATATCACCAGGCATATTTCAGCTCCTCAGCTGCAGACATTGGTAGACTTTTAAGGCAAAATACAGATTTCAGCAGATTGGAACCAGGTTTAGATAGATCACGTTAGGACCTCTGCGTTTACCTTTCATCTGCTCAGGGGCCTTTAATGGTTGATTTTAGCCCATCCAGCTTGCAGTTGGAATTTACAGTCACGTTTCGTTTTTAACCACTCCATACAAGGGTGACTGAACAGTAATACGGTTTGCAGTTTAATGAAAGCAAAGCGGCCAATAGTAACCCTAACAGCAAAATTTGATTAGGAGACTAAACAGTCTGTGCTGAAACAACCAATGGCTTATCAGCCAAGGGCACCCCCCAGGCAATAAACAGAAGAGCTTTGTTGGAACAGACTTTGTTATCTTTTGACACTTTATTGGGCAACAATTTCTTCTGGGAGGGGGGAAAGGGTGTTTGTATTGGAACAGATGGTATTCCCCTTTGAAAGATGCCAAATCTCTAACTCGACTGAAAACAAAATCTTTCTCTTCCCTTTGGGAAAAGATAGCTTTTTCTTTCATCAATCCAGATGCAACTGCTCTGTTTAGTATATTTGCATTAGGTCTGAGCACTTGCAGCAACGAGGACAAGACGCGTGAGCATCCTGAAGGATTCGGGACCGGTTCTGGTAGGAACCTCATAGAAGTGGTATCCCGTCCCCTTTCCCAAGCTGACCACGCAGAAGAGATCAGTGTATCCCAAGGCACTCAGTGCAATCAGGAAAATGCATAAGCAGGGAGACACAGAGAAGGAGTCAATGTTTTCATCTGTTGTAGCACTCACTGCCTTGCCAGAGCATCATTTAATTCAGACCCCGGGAGGCGAAATTGACCCATTCCAGGAATTGTGGAGGAGGAGGAAGGAGGAGGAGAAGGAAGAAGAAGAGGAAGAGGAAGAAGAATTTTAAGGAAACAAAATCAGACGTTTTTCTTCCTGCAGAAATCAGCAGCAGAAGCTTTCTGTAGCAGAGTCAGCAGTCTTAGTTAATACTTGCAGACCTAACAGCAGTTAGTCGCAGTTACAGAAGAGAAGAAGGAGGCTACCCTGTTTTGCATGTACTGTATCAGGAAGATCTGCTGACTCACTCTATCCCAGCCTTTCCACTCTGCATCTTTTCAATTCTTTGGAGTATAACTTGTAGTTCCCTGTTTTAGCCAGATGTGGGGGGTGGTGGATGGTCTGAATCTCTGATATTTGCCAGGATCAGATCCCAGAATAGGACTGAGTTGGGAGAAGTAGAGTTTTGACAGAGTCCCATATGACCATACCCAGGATGTGAGAGATAGCAGGTGATGGCTATTTCTCCAGTAATTAATGTCTGTCTGTCTTCTTTTTTTCCTGAGGGCCAAATGGGGAATGAAACACTTGGGTGTGTTGTCCTCCTTCTTTTCTTTTTTTCCTAATAATCAAGTTCCTTCAGAAAGTTTCAGAGAGGAAGGGGGAAAGGAAAGGACTTGCTTAACCCTTGATATTCTTATTCCTTCCTCAAAGTGTTTCCTATGTACCCTTTGGATAACGAATACAGTGTTTGGAACTTTTGTATTTTTGTGGAAGAAAAAAATAAACAGCTGGCTATAAGGGCAGCCATCTGGGCCAAACCAGGATCTACACCAAAAAAAAAAACAATTATCAGAAAGCAGAACAGGAGTCAGGACACAGAGGGGTGTCAAAACGTAGGTAGATCTTGTTGTTCAAGAAAAGATCAACAGAGGCAAGAAGCTGTTTCTCTCATACCTCATCCTGCTGAGGAGGAACTAACGTATAGTCTTTAAGAAGTCAGTCTTTGGTAGAAAGTTGTCTGATGCAGTCTGGTACATAGGGCAGTAGTAAATAGTTACTCTCTGTGTTTGTGTGCACGTATTTGAGAGAGAGAGAAATTTTGAATACCAAAATGACAGAACAGCCTATGCAACTTCTCCATATGATTTCTTCACACTAACTCATAAGACACTCTCAACCCCTACAAAGAGTTTGAAGCTGATCTGTGTTTGCTTTCATTTTTATCTACCTGTAATGGGCTATGAGAATAACCTTGAGGAAAAGGAGGAAGAGCCGCAACCAAGACAGTGGTCAGGTAAGAGAAATCTGAGACCAGGGCAGAACTGTAACCTGAGTAAGCGTCTCAGACAAGACCCTCCCAACTTCTCTTGAAGATAAAGGCAGGGAGGGGGGACACACATTCAGACTTGCAAGATTCTGTTACTGTAACCCTATAATAAGAGTAGAATTAGCATTTATAACTCTGGTTTCCTAGTCTGGTCAACCTTGAAGGGCTGACTATCTCAAAATACTGGAAACACTGTCAACCAACTGTGCTGTCCAGTTGACCAATGAAAGAATGCCAAAACTATTTTGGCCCTGGCATTGGACCAAAAAAAAAAAACCCCTCACCCTCAAAAGCCAAATAAAGAAATTGCAAAACTGTAAGAGTGGTTGTTATGAGGGGAAACTTCCTGCCAAGCTGCCATTCAACTGTTTCGTTAAAAAAATATCTTGCAGGCAATGAAGGTCAAATTATTATCTAATAGAAGAGAATATATGTAGCTCATGGTTGAACTGTGGAGTCCTTGGGGTTGTCTGAGCTTGGTTGTTTGCTTGCAGACGTTTCATTATCCAGCTAGATAACATCTTCAGTCTCTGAAGATGTTACCTAGCCAGGTAATGAAGTGTCTGCAAGAAAACAACCAAGCTCAGAGAACCGCAAGGACTCCACAAATTATAATCTGTAGGCATTTTTGCAACTAGACGCTTTTCTAATAGCGGAACCATCACTGCATATTTTGGCAGGGGCTGGAATGGGAAAAAGGGGGAAACACATTGTAAATAATATCTACTGACAAGTACTAGAAACAGGATGGTAAAGGATGTGGCAAGAGAGCAAATGATACCTTCAGGAGGAGGAGGAGGAGGATGAAGAAGAATTAAACTTGTATGCCGCCTCACTCTCAACGACCCTGGGCAGCTCAGAGCAATCAAAGAAAGAAATTACAGTCAAATCAATAAAACATAAAAGATGAAAGAAGGCAAGTGCGACGAAGTGAGGGCTCTCCCTCTCCCTCACCAAAGGCCTGGGTGAAGAGCCCGGTCTTCACAGCTCTTCTAAACAACAGCAGAGTAGAGGCCACTTGGATCTTGGGGGGAACCTTGTTCCAGAGGGCAGGTGCTGCTACAGAGAAGCCCACTTCCGGGCTCCCAGTAGATGACATTATTTAATTGAAGGAACCCGGAGCTCACCAACCTTACAGGATCGAATTGGCTGGGCAGATGCTATGGGCGACAGGCATTCCCTCATGTAACCAGGCCCTATGCCATGGAGGGCTTTATAGGTAACGACCAGCACCTTGAAGGATGGGAAGCAGGATGGGGTATGAGTTCCACCCAGTGGAAAAACAGACCACCAGTAGGTTCTGCAAAGCTACAGCTTTTCAAAGAGGAAGAACAGCTTTGTTCTACTTCCAAAAAATCAGAGCAGATTAAAAAGATAGCTTAGTTCCCCAAACCGGCGAGCATCACTAGAATAAACCAGATTGGGACCATTTTCAAACTCTCATAAGGGTCCTAATCAGCTAAGAATGTCAATGGCAGAGAGCTTTGGAAGTGGAGAGTGCATAAAGTCCAAGGAGTAAGGGAAGCAAGTGAGCGAGCCAACGGATTTTGAGTTCAAAAGAGAAAAAGGAACATTTCAGTCTGAGTCCCAACCATGTGGTCTTTCATATGCGTTGCCAGTCCATATAGTGCACTCATGCGTGTGTCCATGCAGATCCACACAGTGTTTTCTCCAGCCTTGCCACCATAATTCCCAAGTACCTTTTGCTTTTAACAGTGAAACATGGGTTATGCGCTTATGAATAAATTAGTGCCTGCTCATAGCATTTTAAACATCTGCTACAAAGCATGTACTGTGCAAGCAGGTGTAGGAGGTTAAAGCAGGTGGGGGGACCTGTCAATACTGGTCAACTTTCTTTCAATCAAGCAATACCTGTGCTATGTGGATAAATGGGAATGGTGAGCTATGTAGCCAACTTTGAGGTCCCTGGAGGAAAGAGATGATATAAATGCATTAAATGGATGGGTACTAGACAAGATGCCCTCAGACAAGCTGCAGAAAGGGTCTCTGAAAATGAGTTCCCAACCTCAGAGAAAAGTCAGAACCCATTAACTAAATCAGAGCAACTTTGAGACGTTTGGGCTTCAGATCCCAGAATTCCACAGACATCATGGCCATCGCTAAGGATTCTGGGCGTTGAAGTTCACCCATCTCAAAGTTGCTCAGGTTAGGAAACACTGACCTAACCCAACCCCTCCCCCCAAAAAAAGCCACCACCTACATTGGCAACCTCTTTAGGACCTGTCATCTTTGGCACTGCTTCTCTTTTATCTGGATCATTTTCTCTTTCCCTTCTCTCTGCTGCCCTTTTGAATCTCTTATCTGGTTTGCCTCAGACATTTCAGGATCTAGCAAATTATAGATGATTACAATATTATTTCTTTGGAACATATTTGTTTTGTTTTCAGGAGAATAAACGGCAAGAGGATAATATTTATCCGCAGCTGCACGCCCCCAGCTTACCACATGGCAAGGCTCCAGATGGTGCCATCACAGGCACAACCAGTGTTAAAAATGTGGTTCCTATCAATGTACAAGAGTTAGCCCCTGAATAAAATAGCTGTTGTCATCTGTGCCATTGATGTTGCACATGATACTGTTGGGTCCAGAGTTTCTTTCCAAGAATTATTCTCAGAAGAAAAAACTACAGAGAGGTTCTGGCCCAGCTATATGTTAATATTTTATGGTGACAAGATGTTTGGATGTCTATGTAAGCATGTGCTTTGGAATACACTTTGGCTATAAACAGCTCTCTCAACATTCATGTCAGTTTCCCCTGCCCTTACTGTGTTTTCTACTGGGATTTCTCCGATGAGGATTTCTTTTCTTTTACTCTCTACAGCATGTAGGGCTCTTGCTGATGAGTTGGCGTACGACATCAAGAAAATCGGACCAAAGAGAACTGTAAATTCGGGGACATTTCGAATCAACCCTGATGGTACACGAGGGAAAAAAAAGGTAAGAGCGAGAGGAGACCAAGCTCTGTAATTGCTAAGATGTGCAATTATCAACCACTTATCCAAACAGCAGTTGGTCTTTTAATCTTCTAGCCTTTCCTGGGTTAGGCCAGCAGCCACTAAATTGCTTCATTTTCCTCTGGGTCTCAAAATCATCTCTGAACTTGAAATTGAGGTATTTTCTCTTTTTCCAGGGCCTTTTTTGAATTTTTGGATGGGGGCTTTTAAAAAATGTTGAGAATGGGGTCTTGTGGCATTCATTGACTTAAAGGGAAGTCCATCAGAACCATAGAGGCATCTAAGAGATGGGAAAGGGATGTGGGTAGGAGCCTCACTTATTATTACCTCCTGCGTATCTTTTGGGTATCTTCACTCACATGGGAGTCATCTGCTTGCCCTGACAATGTCATCTCATATTGTCCCGCAATTTCTTCAGTTTATCCTGCTCTCCGAGAATGGAGTCCGTGGTGGGGCTGCTGTGGGACTCCTTTGCCCTAAGGCCAAACCACAGAAGACCACAGGCAAATCTGCCTCAATCATAAGTAAAATAGTGAACGGGAGTGAAGAAGTTAAGCGTGCTTATGAAGAGTGGTTCTGGCATGCACCTCCTCCAAGATTCCTATGCCTCTGAATTTTGTAAATGCAAATCTCAGCTCAAAAGTAGGATCCGTGTGCATTTGAAAAGAAGCATTTTAAGATAATGCACATCAGGAAACATCTAGTCCCCAAAATACACTTTCAGAAATGCGTGCTTTAGAAGAAAATCGTTGGACATATCAATCATTTTGTATGAGCCGGGCAATATAGAAATATCTGCAGATGAATAATGATGCACGTTTTAGGAGTGAAATAACAAAATAACTCCCTTGACGGGATCTGAACGTTTCAGAACCACTCAGAGAAATAGTTGGGCACCAAGTGGGGAGCTATGAGTAACCAGAGAGAAAGGAGCTGTGATATGAGCTCACACAGGAATAGGAAGCAGAAGATTATAGCTGTGCAACCTTTGCCCCAGCCTAAACATATAAAGAGAGCATGTGAGGAAGCTGTTTGAGCAGGGACTCTCAGGAGACGCAGAGGCCCAAGGTGGTCTAGCACTGTTCTTCCAAATATTCTGTCCACTGGGGTGCTTTCTTCTAAACTTCTACAACCAGCACACAAACACGGATCACTTTCTTATTCACTAGAAGTACCACTTTTTATTTTTAAAAAATCCTGAAGTTGTAATAGAAATATAAGTGAAAGCAAGATAAAAACCAGAATTTTGAAACGTAAAGAAAAATACACCCCCCTACATACCCAATCCATTACAACTTAGAAACAAATATTAAGAGAAGTTATGATAATAATGGGGGGGAAACCAATGTAACAACAGTTTTTAAGATGTATAAAACACTTCAACGTTGGGCAGAGTGTCATGAAAGAGATGGCGTTCCAGGAAATAGGGGCCATCGTAAAGAAGGTTTGTCTCCACATTACCACTGGTGGGCAATTTGCAGGTGTCAGCACAGAGAACAGGATATCCTCTAAGGAGAGTAGGTTTCTGAGAGGCTGATGTACTTTAAGGCAGGGTTCCTCAACCTTGGCAACTTTAAGACGGGTGGACTTCAACTCCCAGAATCCCCCAGCCAGCCTTCTGGGAGTTGAAGTCCGCCCGTCTTAAAGTTGCTGAGGTTGAGGAACCCTGGTTAAGATATCCTTTTAATGTTTTCTTAATGTACACCAAGTACCTTTGACCCTCTGTTGGCCTTCAGTTTCTTTCATCTCTGGCTGCCAATGACTTGCTGGTAGAGGCATTGCCTCTGACACACAACTCCTGATGCACACAGATTCTCCTCTAACCTCTGACACATACATACCCATCCCTCGGTTCCAATGTATCTCTTTCCATTGGAGATTGGGTCAGCAAATGCTCCTCTGGGCAAGGAAACAGAAGAAACAGTGATCGCAGCAAAGAATGCAGGATCTGACTCTAAGTATGGAGACTCCTCTAGCAAAGGGTGGTCCCAACCGAAAAGGGGATCTCAATTCAAGACTGTGCACCCAAAAGAGGAACTCACTACTCAGATTCAAATTCTCCAAAGCTGCTTGCTTGTCACTATTCTTAAGTTATAATCTGCTGGATTGGTGGGCATTTTTTTACTTTTCAGGGGAACACACTTGCCATAGATAGGTATAGCCAAGACATCTCTGTTCTTACAGACAGGTTTAAGGTATCCTTGACAAATGGTTGTCCTGTTTATTCTTAAAACTGTTCCCTGACGGTGGTTTTATGTTTCTAGTGTGCAGGGAAAGTTGTAGCCCATGCAGGCAGGTGAGCTCACTGTACCAATTATGGAACCATAAGTCCTTCCAGGCCTATACTTCAAGCTGTAATACAGAGGCTGTATTAGTGAGAGATGAGTACAGTGGCAGAAATCTACTCTCTGCCAATCTAGGCTCATCAATTGATGATTGCTACCTTCAGGATATTGGTCCATTTCTTCCAGCTTTTCCCAGCCTGGTCCGAGGCTGAACTTCTGCAATTCTCAGCTTGCAGTTGGCTCTGTTGGATGGGAGCTGGTCCTACAAATTTGGAGGGCACCATGTTGGGTAAAGCTGATCTGTTCAGGCTGGCAGCGACTCTCTAGGATTCCACACACCATCTCTTTCTCCTCACCTGTTACCTTTGAGTTGAATTTAGGAATTTCGGCATTCAAAGCATATTTTCATCTCCTGCACAGCCGGAGAATTTGTAGGTCTCCAGATGTGATCGAATGACAGCTCTTAGCTCGTTCGCTATTAGCCTTGCTGGGGGTTGTAGTTCAGGAGCATCTCCTGTTCTCCTCTGCTTTCCTTCTCCTTCCTACATCTAGCAAGAAAATCAGGATGAACCTGGGAAGGAAGAGAAGAAAGAAGGATATGGCAAATGCTAAGAGCAAGTCTGTGACCACCTATTGCTCTGATCAAAGATCAGGTTCAACTACAGTACTCAAGAATTTATTTATAGATCTGGGTCACAAAGAGCACTCCTTTGACCAGGGCTCCAGGTGATGTTGGCCAGACTTCTTAGTTTTTAACTTTTTCAAATCTGGCAGTCAATTCCAAATGGCAAAGTAGGGCCATTGTTAAACCTCTTCTCATATATAGGGTATAATGGTATTATATAATTTGGTATTATATAAAATGGTATTATTTTATAAAGGTATGTTCCTTTTAAAATGTACTGTAAATATTGTGCAGCTCCTTCTGTTTTTAACTTCTTTTTCACCACTCTCTTTTTTCTCTTCTTCTGCCAAAATGCGTCAAACACCTGTTAAAAATAAATGTGTGGCAATTTGCCCAGCAGCTCTAAGGATCAGGGTTCTCAGGAGCCTTCTAATGTTGAATGAATCAAAGGGCATTGCATTGCCGTCAAGGTCAAGCTGGAAAAGGACCCTCCACTGCTTCCCACTAGTGGTAGAAATGACTCTTTACCTTCAAGTTCAGATATTCCACCAATTCAAAATTAGGGATGTCGAGATTGATCTAAAATCCAATCTGTGTCAATGTGCTGACTTCATTCTGACCAGTTTTCTTGAATTATTCTTTTTTTTTAAGACTGGACATTTCAACTGTCTTCATTCACATTTATTATTACTGTATTGCCCCCCTTGTACGTATACTGCCCAATCAAAAAGGCTCAGTTTACCAAAATTATAAGAAAATCATATGTAATATGTGTGTTTTGTATACATCATTATTTATTAGACATATATAGCCTCCAAATCAGAAAGACTAAGACACAGTCTTAGATGAACTCCCCCAATAAATATGAGTTTGCACAAAATTTCCCTATTATAAATAGTTGTGAGGCAGCTAACCAATATATCTTTTTTTGTGTGCTTCTTCCCCAAAGACACACTGCTTTCCATGAAACTGTTGAGCCAAGAATGATGGATGTTTCAAGAATCCATGCCTTCCTTCTGTCTGTGGCTTGACAGAATCTGTGTCTTCGGGTCATACAATTTTGCATCAAAAGAAATTTTGCAAATGCAATTAGTAATTGAAAAGAAACTAGATTATCTCAATCTTCAAATTATTTGATGGCCCAGAATGGCCTGCCGTATGTTTTCGTGGCCTATGAACGTGCAGACTTTTGCATCTGAATTGTTTGAATCTTTTAGGAGTGAGGAATGACTAATGAACAGAGAAACCCTCAGCTGCTGATTCATCACAACCAAAAGCAAATGTTTAAAATCTCCCAAAAAAGCAGACACACATGACAGCATCTGACTGTAATGAGATACGAGACAAAACCAATGCAGATTAATTCAACCTGAATGGCAACAAACAGCATTTCTTGTTTTCTGAAATATGCTACAACTTGCTTCACTTTCCTAATTTATAAACTCCATTCCCATAGGGGTTAAAAAAGTGCAGAGCAGATAGTTCTGAATCCAATTGTTCATTAAGGATAATGAAATTTTAGTTCTGAGGGATATATGCCATTCAAACTCCACCATCCATATTTTTTGTACAGGTTTCACATTTCAGCATTTTTTAAAGGACCAGGCATGCCAACCCTTGAATGATGCAGCATAGCATAGAGACCTAAATATTTTCTAACTGTGACTCCTTCTCATCCTGATTATGGCCCCTGGGGAATTCCAGAGGCAGTCTCCACTGAAGATGAAATTTACTCTTGAAATCTAATGTAATATGTGCTTGTACATACATTTCTTATGCCTTTTCAAGTTGTCTTCTACTATACTGTTATACTTAAAGCATGAGGCCCACATTGAATATCATGAACATTGGTTCAGTGCAGGTTGGTAACTAGATGTTTTTCAACTTCGCAGTCTAGGGCTAGAAGAAAGTAACTGGCCCAAAGTCACCCACCCAGCTTCCGTGTCTAAGGGAGGACTAGAACCTGTGTCTCCCTGTTCCTAGTCCTGTACCACTTTAACACCATAACCGTTACATCATATCAGCTCTTGGGCTGAGAGGGAGGGACTAGCCCAAAGTCACCCTACCAGCCTC